TTACCGATCGAGGAGATAGTAATTGTTTATTGGCATTGCCCTCATTTACTTCCAATTCAACAAGGGAGAAACCAAAGTCATTTGCTTGCCGGACTAAACAGTCAAAATCATGGTGTCATTTTGCTTGGGAATGTAGCATCGGAGTAAAGCCAGCCATGGGGGAATGATATTCTTGCCAAGGCATCCCAAGCTGACAATCAATCCACTGGTGTATCTCCACAGCCAGTTTTGGCAGATGACAGCTACATTAGAACGGATAAGGTTGTTCACGGGTCGGCTTGGGTCGGTTTACAGGGGTTTTTCCAACCGACCCGACCTGGTCGGGTTAGATGAGGTGGAAACCGAAACCGACCCACTGATAGACAAAACCGATCTGGTCGGTTTGAGTCGGATTGGGTCGGTTTCGGTCGATTTTAGTTTTGTTCCTGTACAAAAATGATAGAGAAGCCTAGAATTAGAAGGACACTTAATTCTAATTGTAATTGCTTAATGGGTTGCCTATTTAGTATAAAAGACTATAGAAGTTAGGATAGATACAATTTAGTTAAGTAAGAACTAGAAGATAGGGTTGTTCTAATTCTAATAGAAGACTAGTTAAGTAGGAAACTAGGAACTACCGAACTAGAAAACTAATTGGTTTGGTTTGGTTCGGGTCGGTTTCGGTTTTCACATAAGAAAACCGAAACCGATCCGATATATCGGTTTATGCTTTTGCCCAACCCAAACCAACCGGTGCTGATGAAAACCCGACCGACTCGAGTTGGGTCGGTTCGGGTTGGTCGGGTTGGGCCTTCTTATGAACAGCCCTAAGAACAGATATAAAATGAGTGTTGCAGAAATGCAAATATTAAGATGGAAGAGTGGTACAACTAAAAAGAGAAGGGCCAGAAAATAAAGTCATGTGAAGGAATCCATGACTGAGAATTGCTCCTAATTTTTGGGGTATTAACATTTAAGCTATGTTTGGTTTGAAGGAAAAGGTAGGAAAACCTATACAAGGTTTGTAAAGGTTTCCCTTCCTCTTCATATTTTTTCCTTCAAACCAAACATAACCTTAAGGTCTGAACTTTCAAGTGTTATATCTTGGTACCTTGAACTTTCAGAAATATACCCTTAAGTCTTACTCCATTAAATTGGCGTTACAGTGAGGGTGAAAATTATCAAAACGTCCTTACAAAAGAAACGCTGATTCACAGAATAACAAATAAGCTACTGCACCTAAACAAAAGCATCTAGAAACATGTGAGAACATTTGAGTTCTTTAGTGAAGCCTCTAGACCAGACCTGTTCATAGGCTGGGTTAGGCTGCGTTGAAGTTGGGCTTTGCCTTTATATCAATATAATACATTCAGGCCTGAGGCTGAGCTCAGCTCAATCATTAAGTTTAGATCTTGAGTTTGAGCCTAGCCCTCATATAAAGCTTGAAGGAAATTGAAAAAAAAGATTTTTTATTCAGCAATAAAATTGATTTATTTATATTAAATGACTTCAAAACCAAAAAATAATAAAAGATCTCACTATTACTTGAGAATAAAGAAGATGACACTTGACATCCCCCTTATGGGTAAGAGATTCAAGCTCCTCCCTCCAAACTTTGTTTTGTGACAAAAAAAGTCCTGAACTTTTGGATTTCAACGCTTTCACCCCCTACTCCATTAATTGGTTTTATGATAAAGGTCATGCCAAAGCACAATATTTCTTCTGGACTGGGTTACTATGCTTCTAAACTTTCAAGAATGAATTCCGTTTCTTATTGATGCATATTAAGGCTGCATTTGGCATTACTTATTTTAAGAACTTATTTTCTTTTTGCATTTAAAATGTCCCTATGAATATTGAGTTTTTAACTACCAAAAAAAAATAAATCCTTAAAATAAGGAATGTCAAATGCAGCCTAAACAAGGTTCAAAATATCTAAAAGTACTGATACAATCTTTTATCAGGTCATCGATACGCTCCATAATAAGAGTTGAATGATTTTGGTTGTTTTAATAGATAGCTTATAAGCTTTCATTTGAACTGACAAAAGGTAAAAAGAAAAAAAAAAAAAAAAACCTGAAAAGGGAGGTTTTCCCTTCATTGAAATTCTTGATACACAAATTATGCATATGGAGAGTATTATACTTTCAACATTGAAATAACCCAATTTAAAAGAGAGTTTGTATTTAATAATTTTACGGGCAATGTGCTTGGGCGCGGGGGGTAGGGGGTGTTTCCAAACCCCTCAAGTATAGGGTGAAATAAAAGTTTATTAAGGTTATGTTTGGTTTGAAAGAAAATGTAAGAAAATTTATACAAGATTTATAAAGGTTTTCTTACCTTTCTCTACATTTTCCTTCAAACCAAACATAGTCTAACAGAAAAAAATAAATAAATAAATGACATAAATGATACACAAGGTTCCAATTTAATAATGCGTTAAAAAAAATTCATGTTTCCTGATTTGTCCTCAGGTTTTGGCCAAACCCCGAAGGGCTACGCTACATGTCTTTTGGCGAGGAATTAGATCATGTAGTTCCCTATGACTTGGTGGTGGAAATCGAAAGAAGAAAGGGGCTTAAAAGAGAATATCAATGAAAGGAGGACTTGTGAGCAGATGTCAATGGAAAGAGAGCTCCCTATTCATTCCTCCATATTTATTATTTATATTTTCTATTTATTAAGTAGAGAGGTTTCTACAACCTTCCATGTCACATCATTCAAGGTAGTCAACTATCAACCATTATAATTTAGGGAGAATGACCAATCAGCCCAGATCAGAATTTTATAGCCCCAGGGGAATGCATCTTGACCGTGAATTAATGCCAATTTTTTTCGGGCAGCATATGGTTTAGAAGAAGGGAGAGGGATAGTAGTAGGGGGGGGCTGGAATTCAGAATTCTGCATCGGGTGTATCCATACTTCTCCGTATAATTTATTCTTAAGGCTGAGTTTGGAAGGAGTACAAAAGCAAATGTTAGAGTGCAAAACCTTATATTTTGTATTATTTTGTATGTATTTATGCTGTACACATTTGCATTTACACTCTTTCCAAACTGAGCTTAAGGGTAAATTGGTGAAACAACCCCAGAAGTTTGGTAATGGCAATCACCTCCCCTGTTCTTTTTAATATAGTTCCAAGTAGGCTCCCTTTGTTAGAATCTTCTTAAAAGAGGCATAAAAATGTTTAAAATACCTATACAATTACTTTTAACCAAAATATTTTCCAAATTTTCTTCTCATATGAATCACTAACCCAAACCCTTCCAATCTCTTTTTTAAAATTAATTCTTTTTTTTTTTCAAATTTGCCTTTCATATCAATCACTTAAAGGCAAAGCTGCAATTTTAAATATTCTATTCTTTTATTGTTTATAAAGTTTGTATTGTTGTTTCTATAGAAACCAACCTCCATAGAAATTGCTCGAGTATTTTAAAATTTCGAAGGATTCTAACAAAGGGGTCTACTTGCAACTGTATTAGAAAGTTCAGAGAAGGTAATTGTAAGTAGCAGCCTTTAGGGAGGTTTCAGCAAATGTCAGAAACTTCAGCTGAGATTTCAACAATTTACTCTATTCTTAAATATTGCTTTATGACCCAAGTTGGCTATGTTCTCATTCCACATGGACTAAATTAGACCTACAATGGTTGAATTTGAAAATCCATTTTCTTGCACCACCAAAACAAAATATTCCACCAACAAATATAAAAATGCAAATGGTAATATAATTACCTCAGGATGAGAATGGATCTGTGGTTAATAACTTAATATAGAAATGCAAATGGTAATATACTTACCTCTTGGGGAGCATGAATCTGCTAACCACAAAACGCTGGCCACATCCGTAACGTAACACCACATATGCACAAGAAATATCCATAAATAACAATAAATAGTACAAGAAATGTTCCCAACGTGCTGATGTAGATATACAACGTTCTGTGGTCAACAAGATCCGGGCTCCCTCTGAGTGGCAGGTGATTAGGTCAACACATATTAGCTATTGAAGCCATTCGACGCCTGGTATGGACTACGGTGAACAAACACACTTGGCCCAAGGAGGATCGAAACCCAGAAACAAGCCTTAAACAGGACAGGACTTTCACTCTTTCAGGCCTTGGTGCTTAGGCAGAGGATTAATTCATGTGGGTTAGCGGCCAAGGTTGGGCAATAATTGGTCCCAAACTGTGCATCAACATTCAACAGTTTTCAGTCAGTCAAGTAACAATCAACAAATCCCTCTTTCCATAAGACAATAAATTCTAGTCGACAGTTCCAACTTAGGATGCACTCAGCTCCTGCCATTTCTGAAGACCCATCCAACCTCATGTAGAGATCTTTTGCACCATATTCAAAACAATGTGGGGTTGGGCCCATGTAAAATCATTAGAATCTGAACTCAGGGGGCATTGCGTTGCCTTCTTTCCATTATTGTCCTCGCCCACAACATGGAACCTAACATACTAATATCCCATGTTAATTTTTAGCTTACCTTTGCTTGAACCCATAAGTTCATTAACAAAATTGAAATCATTACCAGAATGGAAAGAGAAACAGGATCGAAATAAGTTTCTTTACCCTCCAAAACGTAACAAGACCATCTCATTCTATGATTAAAACCATAAAGTTAAGTTTTGGCTTCAAACGCAAGGCAAAAACTAAAATGTAATCATTTAATCTGATTTTGCTTCCAAACCATCCATCAGAAATCATCCCTACCAACAAGACACACATAGGGTAACCTAAAACCTTATCCCTGCAGCTATGACATGATCAAACCAGAGAACATTCAGCTACTGTAATGTAGTCCGATATTATTAAAATAATTGCGCACAAGAGAAGTTATGGTGCGCTTTCACCTTTCAGTTTTCCTTTTCCCCATCTGTTGTCATATTGGATTAAGGGAATGCAGTCAAACAAGAAACAATACTGAACAGATCGGAATGGAGTAACAGAGTTCATGTAGCTCAGACAGTATAGCTTGGAACAATGATTTGTTGGGTTGAGTTGAGTTTGGAAGCTGCCTAGTTCATATTCTATACCCAGTTAAATCCATAAATTATGATGAAATTACACCTACACATAACAAACGTGTTTACCATAAAAATATAAGACCATTCAATTGCATCTACAGAACTCTCTCTCTCTCTCTCTCTCTCTCTCTCTCTCTCCTCAATTCCTCTACTTTCTTTCTTGATTTTTTAACCTCTTCTGGTACTGAGGGTCTCAGTTTGCAAAATCAAAAGAAAAAAACAGGAGAAACGGTCTTCTTCTATATAGCTCTGTAAGTACAACAGAGGCTTGAAAATGAACCGAAACAAAACCAAACTAATAAAGCGAAGGCATATTCAATGTTAGAAAGGAACTCTAACCTGTTCTCTCTTGTTGACTGACTTGTTCCCTCTTCTTATCTTTCTCTATTCTATCTTGTTTCTCTTGGCCTCGCCTACCTCCGCTTTGCATAACTGAGATAGAACAAAGCAGCGGCAGCAGCAAGTGTCCCAGTGGACGCAACTGCTGTCGGCCACTGAAGCTTGATGCACTTGGATCCATTCTCCGCATCAACCATTGATGATTTGCATGCAGTTTCACGGTTTTTCAGTTCCATGACAAAGTTGTTAGATGACAACAGCTCCTGCTGCAATTGACTGACTTGAGCTTCTTTCTCCTTGATTTTCTCCTTGGACTGACTCAGGGCTTCTTCCAGAGAACGCTTCGCAGCCTCTATTTCATCCTTCTCCTTCTCCAGCTTCACTAGATCCAAAGACTTATTGGCGATATTTGCTTCCAATCCTTTAACTTCATTCAGTAGCTGAAGAATTTTGATCTCTTGTTCCGAGATTTTGACCATCGCTTCGCCTTCAATCTTGTTGCTCTCTTCCCTGTTCTTCGCTTCCTTGGCCTCAACCATTGACAATTTCTCCTCTAAATAAAGGATCCGGCCCTCGTTCTCCGCCTTGGCTTTTTTCAAGACTCCAACCTCTCCATCGATGCGTTCCAGCAAACAAACCTTCTCCATCTCAAGAGCCTTGACCATGGACTCCTTATGGAGATTGCTCTGCTTAAGCTCCTCATACGCATCCTTCACCTCCTGCAATTCCCTCAACGCTTCTTCGCTCTCGGACATCGACGAAGAAAGATCATGCTGCAGGCGAAACACCTCCGTCTCGAGCTCAGCCGCTCGAGCGGCGATTACTTGCAGAGCCTTCTTGTCTTCTCCAGATTCATCAATCTGCCTCTGCATCTCACCCAATCTCACCTCCATATCCTCTTGATTCCTCTTGAATCCTTCGATCTCCTCCGTGAGAAGCTTGATTTTCTCATCGTTCTCCCCCTTATCGCGCAGCAATCCGGACTTCTCCTGCTCCAGAACTTCAATCCTCCGGTTCAATTCGGAAACTTTCTTATCGAGATCAAGATCTCGCTTCGAGTCCAAGCTCTCCTTCTCAGGCCCCTTACCATTGACATCCGATGCGACGCTATTGACAATCTCTTCGTCGGCCATTGGAACCTAGAGCGGAAGGAGACGAAGATTAATCCGAGCAATTGAACCGAAAACAAATTAACAAGAAACGAGAAGGGCTTGAAAAGGAGGGTTTACGACCATACCTTTCTGTTAGGGTTTAAAAGGCAGAGAGAGAGAGAGAGAGAGAGAGAGAGAACCAACGCTATCTATTCGCTTCCACTTTGTTTTCTGTGAAGCTCAAAAAAACAATGGAAAGGGAGAAATATTCGCAGTGGAGGGAGCGTTTTATGGAAAGACCTAAGCCTTGAGGGAGCTTCGGCTGGCTGAAATTTTGTGAGGGGGCTTTGGAATGAATGAGAAGATATTGAACGTCAGATTGGAACCAATCTTTCACAAGCTGGGGGAATTATTAGATCGAGACGGAAATGGAAAAGATAAACTCAATAGAGTTTTATATGTCGGAGACCGAGCTGGACAACGAACCTGTCAGTGGTCCGGTTTCCGGGTCGAACGGTCCGATCGTTCAAATTGAACGGATGGCCCGTTTTGACAAAAAATAAAAAATTTTAAAAACTTTAAAAAAAACAACCATATCGTTGAATGGTTTGAATGGTTCGACCGCCCGAGTCAGACCAAATCAATGGTTTTGGGGGAAATAACAGTTCTAGGGTAAAATGAAACCGATCACATGACTAATTCCCGGTTTTTTCAGTCTGACCGTCTAGTTTTAAAAACCATGTCGGAATGTGTTAAATTATCAAAATGTTCAATTAAAACCTCTATTTTCTCCAAACAGATGAGAGATAAGCTAAAAAGACAAGAATCATTTCACTTGTATAAAAAAAAAAAATGTTTTATTCATTTTATTGATATAGATGTCTCTCTTCATCTTAAAATATAAAATTTATCTACTCCTTTCTCCAATAAATCAAAAGAAAATCAAATGAAACCATATATATATCAGAAATAAACCTCTACCATTTTATTTAAATATTAGATCCAATTAAAAACTAGTAAGGATTTATTAGAACTACAATGAAACTTCAATGTTATATTTAAAAAATTAATCGAACCATAAATCATCCAAATAAATAAAAAAAAGTTAATTTGGAGATTTAAGAATCTTTAAACCGCTGAAATAATATCTTTTTGGAAATTAATTTATGGAACTCTAATAGAGGAGATATTTGTCACAAAGTGAATTGCAAATGAAACTTAAGGGAAATACCCCGTTTTTGGTAATTTACTTTTTATTTTGGGTAAATTTCTGAAACCTCTCCTAAAGTTCTTGACTGTTGCTGAAAGCTTTCCTGAACTTTTTTGATAAGTTGCAAGTAGACCTCCTCTAGTAAAATTCTCTAACAAGAGTTAGCAAAAAATGTCCAAAATACCCATACAGTTACTATTGAGGTTAGTTTCTATTGGGAAAAGCAATACAAACTTTATAAACACCAAAAGAACAAAAGATAATTTAAAGTTGCAACTTTACCTTTGAATAATTGATACCAAGGGCCAAATTTGGAAAGAATACAAATACATATAAAATAATACAAAATACAAGATTTTACACTCTACATATTTATTTTTATACTCTTTCCAAGTGAGCCAAGGAAAGGAGATTGAAAGGATTTTTTTTAAGGACAACTATATTAAAAGTTCAAGGATAGTGATTGCAAATACGAAACTTCAGAAAAAATTTTAAGGACAACTAGAAAGTTCATGGAAGGTTTCAGCAATTTACTATTTTTTGTTTAGGATTTTTGTCGTTCACTCTTCTTTAATGTTGTAGGATTGTGGGAGGTGGGTCCCACAATAACCTACAACTACATAGCATGTGTTACGTAGATGTTTGTTGGCACTTGGCACTTGGTAGGGGTGTTGGGTTTTTCTTCCATGATTTAGTGCTTTGCAAATCATCTTGCAGCATAGCCTAGATCTAGTCATCTAGATGGTTGTTGTATGACCCACTGAATGATACACACTGTTGCATATGAATGTGTCTTACGTTTCTTGTAAGGCATAGAAGGAAGGAGAGATAAAAAGGGGACATATATGATGGGGGTGCCCTCATGATGGTAAGAATGAAGAAGTTCCCTCTTACTTTGCCACGTGGCTATGTAAAAAAGTAAGACCTAGTATCAAATGAGACCCAACTCTAACTAAGAGAAAGTTACAATGAGGAAAAAAAATAGAGTATATTCAAATGTTTCTATTAATATTTAACTAAGCTTAGAAACTTTTTTTTATTGCCATGTGAAAGTAGAAAGTTAAATTTTGAACTTTTAGAGACGGATCTTATATGTGAAATTTATTTTTTAAAATTATTTTATCTTAATAAAGAAAAAGGAGGTTGCTCGCTTTACCAACCAAAATGAGCTTCCCCACTTTAGCCTCTCTAAAAAAAACTATTCTTTAATTCCTTACTATCTTTAGAATTTCTTTCTTTTTTTTTAAAAAGGATGACCTGGATATTGACTAGGGGTGATCATGGCCCGGAACCCACAAACATAATATTTTTTATAAATAATAAATTATATATACTTATTCCTATGCAATGTGGGATTTGGAGACATGGCATTTATTCATTGATAAAAGGATATGTAAACCAAGCTAGATGTGTTTGTAGAAATGACAATTGGGCAGGTTCAAGGTGGGGCACCTTCTCTCCATTTCCCATCCTCTAGTTAAGATACTTTATCCCATCTTTACCTTGTTTTTGGCTGTGGGGTAGGTTCGGGATGAGTCACTCACTCTCCGTCGGAGTGGGGAATCTTTAAATGTTCTTTTCTTCGAGGCAACCATCCAAAAATGAGTTAATTTGAGGTTATTTTAGAAACAAGATTATAGGAACTATATGCAAACCCCATTTCTCATTTGGAAAAAATATTTCCCCTATCCCTGTTCCATTTGGGGTGGGCTGGGGCAGGGCCCTGGGTTTACGGGATACATTGCCGTCCCATTGTTTGGCTGATGACTTGAAGAGCCTATTGGCTCTTTGCTTAATTGACATTCCTTTTAGGTTATGTTTGGTTTGAAGGAAAAGGTAAGGAAAGGAAGGGAAAGACAGGAAAACCTATAAAAGGTTTATAAAAGTTTTTCTACCTTTCTTTTCCTTTCCCTGCATTTTCCTTCAAACCAAAGATAGCCTTAGAGAATGGGTGAAATCATGGTTCATTGGACTAGAGTTTTGGAGAGAGGAAGCCCACTGTCATGCAACCCTCTTAGCTATTATTTCATGGCATCTTTGGAAGGCGTGAAACGAGATCTTTCATGTCGGATTGGAGGTTTATTGTGCAAAAAAGTGTGTATATTTTTTGGTGAGTTATTCACAAACCACGACCAATTGAGTCTCCAATTACTGATTCCTCCCCCTTTAGGGTGGGTTATTGTGATGGGAGCTTTCTTAAGCTCGGATCAGATCAGATGTTGTCGTATGAACAAGATTTGGCTGAACGAGATGGCTGTTTGACTGGCTGTGTAACCAATGATAAAATTCTACACCATTAATAAAATATCACAGTGGGGCTCATGAAATTATAAAATCAAATTCCACATCTAACCGAACAGCCATAGCGTTTAGCTCATCCCAATTCTGCCGTGTTGGGGTGGTGTGCTGGTTCGTGATGAATTTGGTAATTTTTTTGATAGCGAATTGTGGTTCAGCTGAAGTAGGCAAGCTTCTGGAAATGAAGTTTAAGTCTAGTCGTTACTCGTTAGTTTAGCCGAGTTGTTATGGAATCTGATTCCCTACTAGTAGTTAAAGAGGTTAAAAAGTGCTGGCAATCTCCTTTGCTATTGTGGTAGATATCAATCATGTAGTTGGATCATAACAGATCGAATTCGAATCCGATTACAAAATTCAATATCCGAATTCCATTCAATACTCAACAGATATTGAGAATTAATATTTGAATTTGATTAAATATTTGATTCGATTTGAAATCAACTAATTAACTATTTTAGGTAATTAATAAATATATAAAATAAATATTTTATTTATATAAATTATCTATATAATTTAATTATTATTATTATATATATTTATTATAAAATACTTAAATATTTTATATATTATAAATAAGAATTAAATAATCGGTCAAATTTGGATATTTATCGAATCGAATCAGGTCAAATCCAAATTCAACCGATTAGATATTTAAATTATCCAAACTTGGTTTGATTATGTCGAACCTCGAATTCAAAATCAGATTTTCGAATACTATTGGCACCCCTTCTCTTTGCATCAAATTAGGAGGTGTTTGGGATCAATGGTGATTCCTTCGAGATTTCTCAGAAATTAGGGAAATTGTTTCTTTGGTAGGGTGGGCATTCGATTTATTCGGTTAAAAACCAAACCGAATAAACCAAATTTTTTAAAACCGAACTAAAAACCGAATTATAATAAAACCAATTTTTGGTTATTTCGGTTAAAACCGAATTTAATTAATATATACATAATATTATATATTATAACCAATAATATATATTGTGAAATTTAATTTCATTATAATACATTGTATATAATATATTTGATGGAGGGAGATTTGGCCCGACCCCTTGGCCACGCGACACGGGGAGGCAACCGGGTAGGACCTGGCAAGAGCGTCAGCTCAGCACAACAACATAGACATAGCCCAAGAAGAGGCCCAAGCTCCCTAAGGAAAGGCCCCGAGCTCTCCAAGGAGAGGCTCCGAGCTCCCCAAAAGAGAACCCGCGCTTCCCGGGAGGTAGAACCCGAGCTTTCCTTAGAAATCCCGAGCCCTGCAAGGAACACCACGAAAGGCAAAGCCCAGACTAATCCACCTCGGGTAAGTCCAGGCCACGCTTCTGTCCAAGCTCAAGACTTCACCTCGTGCACCACTCCGGTACCTCGCCTCCAGGTCACATGACTGAACGACCGTACATGACACCAAAGAAGTCCGTACTCTGAGGCGGTGCACTTGACTGATCAGGGATCTGACACATGACAGCCGCACTCCAACGGCCACCTGCTACCGCCATCTCAGTCGTTGCAGAGATGGCTCCGACAGGGAAGACAGTGAAGGTTATGTCTGCCCCCCGTAGAGGCGGTTACACCTGATCTGGTAGAGGCTTGGGAGTGAGTGCACCAGGGCAGTTATAAAAAGCCCTCTTCCCCCTAGAGAAAAGGTAAGTGATACTTTGTGCCTTCTGGTCTAAGAGAATTTCTCATCTTCCTTGCTTTCTCAAGAGTGCTAACTTGAGCATCGAAGCATTCCCATCGGGTTCCTCCCCTAGGAATCTCTTGTTTCTTCCATGTTTCAGGCATCTCCCGCTCCGTCAGAGGCA